ATGAGGCACATTGATATACTTCTTCCTTTCTGTAAGAGGCGTGTTAATAACAAAAGGTTGATTGTTAGGAGCACAAGGCTAACATCTAGTTGCGTGAAAACAGCTGACAAGTGCTAATGTTCAGTAATCTCATCTGATAAAACTGTGTGGAGGGAGTAATTGCATGAGGATTTCATTAGAAGAATGTGCAGCTGGTTTTTCTGGCTTTCCAAGTGCAGACTGTATTCCCATAGGCTGTGCTGGGCAGTCATCATGCTCTGATTTCCCTTCGAACTTCATTCTGGCTTTGGCAGCTGGTTCTGCCTTTGACTATCAAGCTCCTTTGGCAGCGTTGTGTCCATGGATGTGGCTGTCACTGAACACGGCAGGCAGCTGGGCCACACGGCTCTGAGCCTGGGATAAGGCTGGTGTTGGTGTTGTAGGACATCAGGCAGACACAAGCTCTCTCATCATCTTTTGCTTTGGATATCTGAAGAATGAGAGTGAAAGCTGTAGGGTTGATACAGGAAAGCAATGCAAATTGCTGAAAACAAAAAAACAGGAGCTTCAATTTTGCACAAATCTGACGTGAAAAATCACACCAGTGCTAACGCTGTTCTGCCTAAGGACATTATTCCATTCATACACAGAATCATGCTTTTAATGAGCAGGTAAAAGTAGTTGGCAGGTAAATGGCATAGTCATGGAATAAGTATTACCTACTGTGGAATTGAATTCTGTATTTTTGTATCTAAAGCACACATGGCAGAGTCTAACATTACCAGGAAACCAGGGCTGACATTAACCTGCCCCTGGGAAGAGAGGGGGAAATCAATATAGGGACTATGGAAGACAGGCTTGGCACAGCAAGAAGAAAAAAGAGGCAGAAAAGTGAATGACTGGCCTGTGAGTCAGTGATATTTTGCTGAGTTTATGCACGTGTTTATTTTCTAGGTGTGATATCTGAATTAAACATTAGATAGACCCAAGGGTTGGATACATATGTGCACTGCTGAATGTTCTCAGCTACTGAGACACAAGGACACAAACACCACAAGAAACAATATTAAAAAGGCCCATTAAGGCTGCAAAGTCAGACTGGAAAGTAGCAAGTGCTGAAATTATGACCAAGTGAGCAATACTATTTCTTTCTTTCTTTGTGCTTATGCATCATAACCCAGTTTTTAATTACATGGTAACAGATTTATTTATTTTTTCCTATAGGGCACCAGGCTTGGTCAGTGCGTAGGATGTGCTCTCTAAAAGAGTAATATGTCCCAATCCAATGCTTGCCTTGCCTTTTTTACTATATGCTGTCCTGCCCCAGCTCTGAAGGAGCACCCTGTGCAGCTCATCACCACCACGTGAGTACTTCTCAACATCATCCATTTAGCTTCCACCTCTGAGATGTGACACAGGTGATAAAACAGCAAAAGCCAAACACCATCTGCCTGTTAAGAGGTCTTCCACTGTTAATGCCAAAGAACTGTTTTATCAGACTGCTTGGTATTGTGCATTCAGGTACAGTTCCCACTGACTTCAACCACAGCTGTGCATACTTAGTCCTGCATTTCAGACTTCTATGAGCCAAGGCCCTTCGTTCTGAAAGAAAAGATCATGCAAATAATGGTCATTAGATTTAAATGTGGGCAGAAGTGATTTGCCTGGAATTTTGTGACTGAAGCTCATATGGAAATCAGTTTCCCATATCAGCTTCAATGGCTTCAACCATCACACCATAATTTCTCTTCCTGTAATCTTCTGACTTGCTCATTTTGTAGCTCCCAAGTTCTGCAACAGTAGGAGCAGGAATCCAGCAGATTCTCTGCTGCAACTCAAAGCCAGGCTTATTATTTTTCTCTCAGACTGATATCCAGTTGGATGATCAGCCTGGGTGGGATGTTTGGTGCTCAGCTCTGCATCCTTAGCTCATAATATAGCCATGGCAAACTGATCTTCTCCAGCAAGTGCTCGTTAAGGAGAGTACAGTCTGGTGCCTGAATGTCAGGCCCAGTTGTTCTTCCTGTAGGCAGTTCTCAGTCTTAGTTTCTCCCCATCTCTGAGGTTTTTGTGCCAATTTGCTCCCACCCCCAGCACAGCTAAGGCTTGTCTCCCCTGCACTTTGAATGCTAACACAGGAGACCCCAAGCTTTTCCAGCTTTACTTCTGGCATCTCTTTTGGCATGGCTCCTACTGGCTCCAGGATGGGCTGATGGTCTCCTGAGGCTGATGACAGCCCTGCTCTACCAAGCAGGTAGCCACTGGTGAGCCATTAGTTTTATACCTCCCCCTGTCCCCTCTTCCTGTAGTGCTGCCTGGCTGCCAGGGGTGAGATCTGAGGTCACTCTCAGACCTGCTTCTCTCATCCTCTTAAATATATAACTTGGCTGCCAAGTCGTAGGTATGTACTTGGCAGCCTGCGATAGCAACTGGAAACAAAACATACACAATTGTGTGTTAAAAAAAAACCAACAACAGGAAGCTGCAGAGAGCAAAGTCAAAGCTGAATTTTCAGGGTGATATGAGGTTCTTGCTTATCTTGGATTAAGTTCATTAGCATGGATAAACCTTTAAAGAGTACCTGCTGGAGAACAGATGCATTATCTGGACAGCTATGGAAATAGGGGGGAAGTTAGGGACAGCAAGCAGATTGTTTCATGGACATTTTATTTTCCTACATTGGATTGTCCCTGTACTCTTCCGTGTGCTCATGAACATTGCAGTGCTGCTTTCAGGAGTATTTTCCATCATTAGAAAGTATTGCAAAAATGAATGAGGACATCTATAAGAGCTGAAAGCAGAACATATTCTTTCTGCCTTTCTGAGCTGACTTGTCTAAAAGTCTTAGATCAGGTATTTTCATAGCTTCAAAGTGCATTTTTCTAAGCTGTGGCTGTTTTTCACCTTTTAGCTGAAGGGATCTGCTGAAAGGTGTGATCCTCTCCCCATTGCTTCATCTTTATCTGTATTGCTTCTGGCCCCTCTCTGACCCACCACTGAACTGATATGGAGCGCTAACTCAGCAGAAAGCATCTAATTTATTTTTGCTGGGTTACTGTTTTGACAGTTTAGGGAACTGCCTTGCTATGGGGACAGAGAAGATAAAGAATCAACAGAGATAAATGGTGGTAAAAGCTGGGCAAGAGGAAGAATGCCTCTTCCATCAACAGTTAGCTATTAGGCTGGCTTAGCTGTAACACAAAACCTCATCCTTCTCTTGACTTGACTTCAACTGAGAGGGAGTGCTTTTGTCAACAAAACTTGTACTAGTTTGGGGTGCAATCCAAGCAGCACCAGGTGTACACAATGATACTGTTCCACTGTGAATGACCTGTATGAGAGATTTTCCGCTTGCACAGCAATGCTTCGAAGCATCCCAAACATCACAAATCCTCCCTCAAACCATGACCTTAACCTGTCTGAGCCTGTGGGAATTATTTCCAGGGGAACTCACAAACCATGAGCTGACTATTTGCACAGAGATGTAGGACATGTCACAGGAGACTTGTGACTCTGATATCTCAAAAATCTCAAGCTAAAATGTGTTTAACACAGAGAGTGTTGTACAGATGACAGTGTCTGTATTGGGGGTGAACTGCTGCTCCTCTTGTGACAGTGACTAAGAGCACCTCTGCAGCTCCCAACCCTCAGAAGGAAATGAGAGCAAGGCCCAAATGAGTGACACTGAGTTATTAACTGCACAGAAATCACTTATTTTCCCTGTTCCAGCAAAGAAGATTCCAAGGGAGGCTGTTGGGCAGAGGTGTGAAGGAGCAGAGTGCATGGACCACAAGTCCCCAAGCTGGAGGAGACTTGGTGTGCTGGGTTCCACAGCTCCTAGGGGACAGCTAGCTGGCTGTTTCCAGGATACTGCTGTAAACAGGGCCACCTGAGCGCCCAGCCATGCTGCAGACAGGCTCCATAACCTCGGTGAGTCCCCTTGCTGGCTCCACGTTGTTGCTGCCTGTATCTGGCTCTGTAGCAGATCTGGGGGCTGCAGTGGACTCCATGGGTTGTGGGGCAGCCATGGAGCCATCCTTCAGCCATATCAGTGAGCACTGAGCTGTGTTTTAAAGACACAGGCCTGTATGGCTGTGGTAGGTGTTGCTCTGCCAAGCCACCCCACTTTCCAGTTTTCCTCCATGAGTTCATATTCCCTTGTGTGTAACACAAAGGTATTGCATTTGCATGGTCCTTTTCATCTGAAAATTGTAAGCCAGTATTAGAAAGCTGGAGCTGAAGACTAGGACTGACAAGTTTAAGTAACTGCTCTTTGTCAAAGGATTAGAGCCACTGTTTCCTAATACTCATCTCCACAGTCTAACCACTGCACTGTTGGCTGCTGAGATGAACTTATTTTGGTGTTCTACTACAAATTAAATTGAGCAAGAATCGGGGACTCTTGTTGCTGTCAGAATGGCACCAGGCAAAAAGTCACTGAAAGCCTTCATATTTCACCTAATTCACCCCTCTGTAGGCAGAAGGACTTCAGCAACAAGATGCATTTTACTTGAAAAGTGACCTGCAAGTACCAGCTAAGGGTTTGCAAGCCTTTCTTGTTAGTTAAGAAGGGGACTAATCCATGGAGGTTTTGGGTTTTGTATGGATACTGTAAAATCCTGTCTCTGGCAGTTTGCTTCAGCGTTCCCTGAAGATTCTCTGTTGGTGTTTATTTAAAGTTCTCAGAAGATCAGCAAAGTGCATAACCCATCCCATTTTTAAACAAAGGCTTCCTTTCTGCTGCTGCTTAGTCATCGTAATTACATAAATAATATCAAAAACAAATAAAACTGATGGTTTGTTTAATCCATGACTGCATTTGATCTCTCAGCCTTTATTAATTCACTAGCAACCAAAGAACTGATGCTAGCCAACTTTCTGGATTTATTCACAATCTGAAAGACATAGAAGAAGACAGATGCCCGTTTTTTCTGTCTTATGCTGGCAACCTTTAATCTGAGAGATCTTCTGTTTAGCTAATTCACAGTCAACATCTGACTAAAAAGCAGACTTAAGAAAGATATACAATGGACAATATGCACAGTGCTTGTGTTATAAATATTTTGCTGAGCTGGGCTGAGAAAAAGGGCACAGTGCTTATGACATGTAACCTGCATGCTGTTTTCTTGCAGACAATAAAACTAACTTCAGGCGTGTGGTACTGGAAAGATGACACTAACACACTTGAATTTGCAAGGTAAAAGAATGATGTTCAGTTTCAAATTACACAGGCTTAAGGTTCTGCAGTTCCATGTAAGGTAAAATCAGAGTGTAATGTTTTGCCTGAAAATCAACTGCAGGACAAATCTGTATGTTTAAACATATATATATTATGGTGAATGATCTTAGAGCTCTTTTCCAATCTTGGTGATCCTATGATTCCGTAGATGTTTTTCTTTGAGACTGGAGCTTGTAATCGTTACTCTGTGACACTGAATCTCCATCCCTGGAGGTTTTCAAGAAAAGGGTAGAGATGTAGCAGAGGGACATGGTGTAGTGGGTGTGGTGGTGATGGGTTGATGGTTGGATGAGATGATTTTAGTGGTCTTTTCCAACCTCAACGATTCTATGATTCTATTATATTTATCCCATTAATGGAGAAAAACAGAAATACGCATTTAACTCTGTACTGCTCTCAAGATGAATCTACTTCCAAGGGACTGCTGAAAGCATGTTCAAGTGCTGCCGTGTGTCTGAAACCATGTGCTGGAGCAGCAGTGCTGACAGCAGGGGCCAGATTGCTTCCCTGGCATCGAGGGGTGGAGGTCCAGAGGCTGATGCCTGGCAGTGAGCACTGAAGGACTGCAAACCTTTTGAAACCACACTTCTGCAGGAGAGAAATTCCACGTACCTGCGCTTTGCATTTCTGTGTCAGTTGAGGAGCAAGACTTTACCTGGCTGAAATATTTCCATACCACTGGGGAAAACTACATCCTCCCCTCTTCCCTTCCCAAGTGCAGGGCAGGCAGGGTGGTTCCTGCTGCCATTCTGGCAGCTCCCCAGCCTTGGTCATAGTAGAGCTGGGCTACTCACTTGTTCCTTGACCACTGGCTGATGCAGGTGCCTTTCATGGTCTGAGTCTCAGCAGCTCCAGCCAACTTGTCTCATGCGTTTCGGAATGCAGCTGGCTCTGCTTGGTGCTCTCTGGGGCAGGAATAAATTCACCAGCCATGTTTGCTCCTCTGCCATTTGTAGTCCTAAAGAAAAGCTTTACATTTTGCATTTAAAATATGTCATTCCAGAGACAAAACCCTCTTCTATTTTCCTACACAAAGATAAAGTACTAGTGGACCTGAAGGTCAGGTGCATATATGTACAATAACCTACCATGAATATGGTTAAGATGGAAATTAAAAGAAGGTCCCTATTCATTGATGTTGTTAAGACAAAGATGGTAAAGCCACTTGAGATACAGATGACTTGAAGGGTTTCTGTGATGCAGGAGACAGCAGAAGAACCTTTGCTTATTTTGTTCTTCTGCATTCTTGAAAGCAATGTCTCATGTGGCCCTCACCACAACCCAGATGTTTTCTTTGCATCAATTAGAAGACGAAATACACGTGTTTTTGTATCGTGGCGAGTTGACCTCTTTGCACTGCTGTTAGAAATGTAAATTCACACTACTGTATTCTCATACTCTGTTTCAGCTCCAGTCCAGCAGCTGAGGAAAACCTTAATGAAGGAAAAAACGCTCACTTTCAGGAAATATGTGTCAAGACATTAAAGAGGTATTTCAATTCCACTAAGCTAGCTCAAGAAGGAACACAATTATTAGGGTGGGAATATTTCATCAGTTGTAGGAGGATCGTGTCTGAACACAACAGGTGAAGCAGGAGCCACCTGTCATTTCAGCAGGGTGGATAAGTGGTCTGAGCAGAGAAACAGGGCCAGACATGCCCTGTGCTGAATGCCAGCTCAGGCAGTAGCCTGCTGTGACTTTGGTAAAGGCATTCAGGTCTCTCAGAATGAGGTAATAATTCTCATCTACTCTAAAGAGTATTGTGAGGTAATTAATTCACCTTTGTAAGGCACTTCAAAGATTAAACTATTATTATTAATTTTATAAATTCACAACATGGTGTGGCTGACTTTCATCCATTACTTAAAAAATCTTTGATCTAAATAATATGGTCGCAATTTATTATATTAGCAACTAAAAGGGCAAATTCAGAAGCAACCTTGGAGGTGACATGTCCTATTTCTCCCAACATTCCCAGCCTGCTTTGTGGTTATAATAGTTGAAAGTTATTTTGGGGTATCTGCCAAACACATTTAACTGCCCAGCTTTGCGAAACTGCATGCAATAAGGACCGTACGTACCAGGTAGATAATGTGACTGTTCTGTGACTGGAATTAACAGTGTCTTTAAATACTACATATTGGTCAACTACTAGCATTTTCCAAGATGAATGCAGTGCTACGCTCCCTGAAAAAAGGCTGGCTGACAATGAGGAAAAAATTCATAAGCTGTCAAAGTGGATAAAACATGAATATGTCACACTGGATGATGTCAAATGTGAGTAATTGTTGGTCTTCTGCATCAGCAAGGCATTGCCCATAGAAGTATTTCTACTACCGTTGAGCAATTTTTGGAGAAGCTATTATTTTTTTTGCTCTGTGTTTTCAGATCTTGCTTTCCTTTTGAGAGAAGAAAATGAGTCACATCGCATGCTACCATTTGCAGCAGTTATGGGGTATGTCATTTAGAATCTGCTTCGAGAATCGTGTGTGTATCAGGGAACAGAGGGACTATCCTGTGTGAAGTTTCAAATCTCTTCTCTGGGGGTTAGTGGGAAGCAAATACATTTCTCCTCGATGTGCAGAAAAATAATCCTACCATTTGCTTGAAAGCATTCCACTGTTAGCTAAAGGAAGCCAAGACCTTGGGCCTAAATATCCAAACACCGTTATTCATCTTAGCCTAAGTTACATTCAATGTTTGGCAAAGCATCCATCACGCTGCCTGCACCAGGAAGGCCTAACACAACAGGGCATCCAGACTGCCTGCTTGTGCTGCTGCTGTTCCAGCCAGAATGCAGAGCTCATTGGTTGCTGCTGGTGTTTATCAGCATTACTTCCCCATATGCTAAGAGCAAGGAGGCAGTTGGCAGAGCACTGTCTTAAGGGTGTACCCCTGAGATCACCAGGGCTAGGCAGTGCCTGCACTGCCTTTGTTTTAAGAATGTACCTGTATATTTTGAGTTGCAGCCATACTGTCCTTTGGGAAGGGGAATCTTAGTTATCCCCATTTTCTTTGAATGAGAATGCTGCTCTTTCAGCATGCTCAGTGCACAAAATATACTTGGAGGATGTAAATGTGGTAATATCTAGTTGAGTCTATGGCTCAGCGTGCTTCTTGGCCTCCAAAGTCTTAGTTTGAGGTGGAGTGCTCGCTGTGAATGGCTCTCAACTGCATAGGGGGTTGCTCAGTATAGTGCAGGCCCTTGAGCAGAGACTTTGCTCTTTTTCATATTAATCTGGTACTGCAGACTTACCAGTGACATTTCTACTTTTTATTTAGGAACAAGAAACTGGATGAGTTCCTCATGGCCCTGCTTTTCTACATGTCTTTTTACCTGGAAAAAATTGCCCTGGAAAAGAAAACCCAATCCTTGATTTTGTGAGTATAGGATGTCAGGGGTGTGAGTACCCAGAATTTGCCCTAGTAAATCCAGACTTGTAGGAAAGTTTTTACAGTGGGCTCAGTGGGATCCTGCATATGAGCAAGGACTATTTCTTGAGCACAAACTGCATGTTGGCCTGGTTGCTATATGGAAGTCTAAGGAGAAAAACCACTCAGTTACGCCTCTTATCCCTTTGGTTTCTGTGCTTTCCCAGGACATCTGAACTAGTCATTCCTATGACCCAAACCTTTGTGTGCCCTGGATCGAATCACCATCCCCCAAATCACATTTCCCAGTAACAATATTAGCATCCAGTCCTTTCTGCTTGCAGAAGCACCCACAAAGCACAGCTGAGTTTGCTGGGTGTTAATTTGTGCCGTGGGTCACACTGAACTCATTTCTAAATATGCAAAGCAGGTTCAGATGCCTCTTCAGTGCTAGAAACATGTTACAACATGAGAAATATCTGCTAGGCAAGCAGTTCGCAAGTAAGGGTGTGTGACCACATTTGCTACCTTGCAAAGTGGAAGTGGGGATGCCAGACGAACAGCTGAGGAGCTGCTGTGTTGGAGGGTTATGTGCCTTGGGTGAAAGTGTTACAGAGCTACCAACCATGATTATAATAAACGTTAATGATTTGCTGGACTCTTTGATAATCTTGGAGAATTGATTGATTAATTCATTAAAACACATTAATAACTGTTTACTTCACAAGTAATGAAGCCTTGATTTAAAGAGGGGCTGATTTATCTGAACTGAAGAAGTGACTGTTGGAGGATTGCTGGTCTTGAACAATTCGTTCCATTTCTATAGATTGCCGAATGTTTCTCTCATTGTGCTAATAATTCATACATAAAGAAAATCATCAACATAACTTCATACACAAAAGTCCTAGGTCCATGAGGATGAAGAAGACCCTGCATTGGCCATGACATCTCAACATAGCTCGTGTCATCAGCTGGTATGGAAAATACAGAAGCAGACTCAAACAAAGAGGAGTTTGGACCATTGCAACATGGGTTTCTATTTCTTGGGTCAAGGGGGCTGTGACCTGTAGCTACCAGCTATAAGAACTGGATAATCTCTGCCAGAAGACACTTTTTGCTGTGTTATGGCATGCAGTGCTCCCAGAGTGACTGCTGTCTTTCTGTGGGAAGCATATATGAACTCTGAGCTTCCCAAAGGGATATTTGCAATGCTGCTTTGTTGAGATTCATTTCCTCCCCTGAAGGGAAGTGGCTTCCTTGCCAGAATTGCTTGCGTGTAGTGTAACATCAGAGAAGGTCAAAGAAGAGACATTTACCACGCAAAGATCAGGATATTGATCTGTCAAAGCATAAGTACAAAGAAGGAAAATAAAATTACAAAAGGCATATTTAGATTGTACTTAATGTTGAAGTTTATCCTTAATTGTTCTAGCACCTAAGCTGACATGAAGGAGCAGGCACGAAGAACTTTCTGACACTGCAGTTTCGCTGTGTCCAAGGCTTCCTATTTCCTCCCTTATCTACCTGGTCTAATGTTGAACTTAGTATATGTTGTATTTCAAATCAGATGTAAGAAGCACTGCCTTTTTCCATTTGTGCTGTAAAGTTCTGGAGTTGTCTTCTACTAGGAAGTAGTGGGGACAAGGGAGAAAACTACTTTTTTTCTGAAGATGGATCTCTGTGAGCTTGTGAAAGGGATTTTATAACCACATAATAGAATCATAATGACAGAAAATTACTCTTATGATAAGAATCCTTTGGTATGTGATATGCTTATGTATTTGAGAGGATATGAAGGAAAACTGCACAGCCATTTGCTTTCCTGTACCCATCCCACATAAATCCCATGCTCAGGGCTGTTCCAAGTTGTCTGCTTAGGAAGAAAAACCCCTCCCCCTTCCTTCTTGATGTAATTTAATTTCAGAGGCTTTTTGCTTTCCTGTGTACTACTGGCTATGTGCCACAGGCAGAGACAGACTGGAAGCAGGACATACTGGTACCCCTTCATGTGTCTGGTTTGTGACACCTATAATTTGCTCAGAGTTAAACTGACAGACAGGTTACTTGAAGACTGGGCTTGATGACCTGCCTACTCCTTTAGCAGCCTGATGTTCCCACACAGCAGACACATCCAATGTCTGTGTAGTTCTTGAGCTGCTCTTACAGACCTTGTGTGCTAACCTGCTGAAGCAGAAGACCACCCTCATCTAAGACTGTCCTTAAGAAGTCCTTGCTTTCGCACATTGTATTTTCTTATGTCAGAAGGAGTTCCTGTAGAAGAAAACCAGCATGAATCTGGACATCTGTAACTTCTTGTGACCTTATCTTCTCTTGGTGCTATGCCGATTCTTTGTAAATCTAAGCTTGAGGTTTGCCTGGCTTATTTTAGGTTCAGGAAGATCTTGTAACCAACTTCAAAAACAACCAACCAGTTTTCCAAAGCAGCAGGTGTGAAGCTTTGCCCTGCTGGAGACAGCCTGAGAGTATTCACCTCTGAAATATGCAACTAAGAACAAAAGCTAAACAGTGGTGAATGAAACATGAATGGAACACAGACTATTATTTCTGTCCTGCATTTTTTTCCCCCCCTTACTTTCTTTCATGTCTTTTAAGGAAAATCTGCTGAATTTTATTAGCAATTATCCTTGAGAAGCCTGGAGTAATTGTCCTAATTATTAAAGGTGGGTTGTGTGGGAAGCTTTACAGCTGGAGGCCATCAGGGACAGATAAAACAGCTCTCCCCAGAATGGAAGGAGGCTGGCAACTTTTAGGCCTGCAGCGCTCCTGGTACTGGGAGACAGCTGGGTGGATTACAGGGGAAATAGAAAGCTCTTTGGTTTGGCATTTCCTTAGCGTTTGATCTGAAGTGGTTTAAAATACAGGCTTGTGGGGTCAGCTGTTCCTATTTAGAGGCCATCCCAAAAGCGCTTTGTGTGCCTTTCTGAAGAGGAGTAAGTGGTGTCTCGGAATGAGTCAACCCCACTGCTCCAGGCTGCCCAATTGCAGAGTCTGTGCCTGGAGACATCTCTGTGCACCTCTAGGGCTTTCATGTAGGTTGCAAAAAGGGTTCATAAGCTATGCAAGATCAAAGACAGCAGCCTAAAAAGCTGCAGGCGTAGAGCCTGCAAGTTCTGTAGGGCAAGAGAGGCTGTCTGAGTCCACGCAGCAGGCCTGGCGGTCCTGGCAGTGCTACAGAGCTGTGCTGGAAGCTCCTGAGCTTGGCCTTGATGCAGTTTGAAGGTGTTGTCATGTGGTGCGTTGGCTTGTGTGCCTGAAAGATGTGTTTACTTCTCAGGAACTCTCATTCTTTCTAGCATCCCTCCCCTAATTTTCTTTCTTTTTTTTTTTTTTTTTTTTTTTTTTAAATTTTAAACAGGTCTGTGATTTTTCTGGAAAATAAAGCAATGGACGATGTGTTGGCAAAGTTAGCGGTGGCCAAGATTTACCTTGCCAAAGTTTACAGTAACTTTGTCCTTGAGAGAGGCAGAGCAGAGCGGAGTCGCACGTCTCACAGAAAGTAAGCCAAGAAATTATTTTCCTTGACAAGTCAAGGGCCACAGCAGTCCAAGGCCCCTTTTGAATGATACAAGTGAAGGCCCAAGGCCATGCTTCTTGTCAATCTAAGGGTTACAAGAGGACCATGAGGTCTGTTGAGGTATTGGAACAGACTGCCTGGGGAAGAATGGGAGTTGCTGTCCCTCAAAGTTTTCAAGAAAAGGGTAAATGTTGCACTGAGTGACTTGGCCCAGAGTGGTCGCAGGCATGGGCTGATGGTTGGACTGGATGATCTCGGTAGTCTTTCCAACCTTTATGATTCTATGATATACAGATGTGCACTGATCTCCCTGCAATTCTAGCTAGTAACTAACTCCAGAAGTGTTTCTGATGAGCTGTTGCCAACTGATTTGACACAACAAGTTGTAGCAGAGTTCTGGATACCAGATGGTGAAACTCTAGCCCTGGTATGCGGAAGACTTGCTAGATATACAGAGCAGGAAACTTCGTTGGGTTCAGTGTGAAAGCCAGCAGGGCAAAAAGCAGTGCCAAGTACACCTCTCGCCCCTGCCATTTTGACTATACCTTGAAAGAAAATAGTTGTGTGCTTGCTGGTTGCCACTGATCCCTGCATAAGTTTCTGTTTATACCAAGTCAGAGAGCCTAAGACTGTTAGTGAGTGCAGGAGAACGTGCTCCTGAAGAGCAGCAAGTGAAGGGACTAGAGACAAGAAAAGGTTGTGCTTGGGAACTATGGGTGTTAGAAGAGTAGGGAAACGGGGAAGATGGTGCATAGATTTTTTTGGAGTGGTGGAGACCAATAACTCTCTAGATGCCTTAAACCCAGCAAAGGTCTGAGAGGGGCAGGAAGCCTTAGTGGGAATTAAAAAATATGAGGATAGGAGATGGATACATATAATGTTTCCTTTCCTTGGCAGTAGCCACCATGCACCCCAGTCCCTTGAGGTCTTCTCAGAGCAGTTTCAGACACGTTTTTACAATATTGTTTGCTGTGAAACTGCTGCCAGTCCTCCATAGGAGTTGCAATCCTTCTCCTGCCTTTCTGCAACGTGGTTTCTGGCAGCCTTACTGTTGTCTGCAATTGGAGGAACCTGGATTTCCTTCTAGTCAAGAGGGGAAGGTACATGGTGGAGGTAAAGGGGAACTGGAGACTGCTGTCCCAGTAGAGCTTTCATTTTAGTGTGCTCCCATGTCACAAATCAGTCGATCCTGAAATTGAACAGCACATTCTCTCTGTATCCTGGCACACTGGTATTTTGCAGGGTATTCCTGGCAGTGGTGTTGTGTACCAAATGCCTGCTTCTAGATTTCTGCTGAGTAGAGCATCCCGTTAACCTTCCTGTTGGCTGGACAGGGAACATCACGACAGCATTCATTGTTTCTATTGGGTGGCCCTAATGCCTGCACTTATGAGACCCAGTATGAGTGCAGAAAAGCAGCTTGAATCCAAGGACTGGATGCAGCTGGATAGAACAGCCTGTGCTGCATATCCAGCTGGTTAGTTCTGCTGCCTCTTTACTCACTGTATTGTCTGGTGGACAGCAATATGCAGGATTGAGAAAAGAGGTCTAGTGGCAAATGCAAAAAAAAAAAAAAAAAAAAAAAAAGAGAGAGAGAACCAAACCAAGCAGCATGGGAATGAGAGCAGGGAGTTGAAATAGGAAACTGTCATCTTTAGTATTTCCATCACAGTCGGGGTTAGAAACTGGCAGTGGCTTGGGACGCTGATGTCTAGGCTGTAAAAACACACAGAGCCAGAAAAGGGCTGTGTCTTAACACATTTGCAATGTAAGGTGTTGCATGAAGGGAGACCAGAGTTACTCATAGCAGGGTGGTGGTAGCTGACTACAGCGGACTTCAGAGTTAGGCTAATGCTGAGCATGTCACAACACACAGCACTTCTCATACCATGCAGCAATTACATAAATATAAACCCTTCCAAGCTGACTCAGTTTAGCCTTAAATGTTATCTGGAGCCTCCCAGACCATCATTATATGAACTGCCAAAAACAAGAGCTAAGGGACAGAACTGATTAAGACTCTCAATTGTAAAAGAAGATTAGGAATTTTCTCAGTGCACATACTTTGGGATAGAAAAGGTCCTTTGTCAAAATGGAAACTGTGGCAAGGGTTACTTTTGATGATTTTTTTTTTTTAACTTGAAAAATGTTTAGATTTAAAAGCTGAGAAACTATTGGTAATGTATAACTCCTAGTTTCATGATATTTTCTTATAACCCAACTATAATGCTGAAGCTTTTGCTTCTTCTTGTAATTCACCATAGCAACATATTAAAGAAATCTTATGCTATGTTGGGAAACTGTTTTCCCTTCCAGATATGCCAAATGTCCGTGTATTCATATGCAATTATTGATTTTTCATGTGAAGTCTTCCTCTGAAAATTTTTAAAAAGGAAGATTAGATGGAGGACATCCTCATTGTAACCATTTATATGAATTGTAAAATGCAGCATTAAAACCTTAGTTTGATATCCTCCCAGACTTTTGAGAATTTGAGAGAGTCCCTCCAGACCTGTTATTTGTGTGTTAGCATTAGTTCTTTTGTGCCTCCAACGCCGAGGAAGGAATAGGTGTGTCTGGCTTTCTCCTTTTAAGTTGATTGGAGTTGCGCAACCTTTTTGTGGTGCCAGCTTCCTTATGGGCATTTGTCATAATGGGAAAAATACAAAGCGTTCCCAAAGCAGCAGGCATCAGTGGCACAAACAGAGTCAGCCCTTACCAAACCCTGAAGCTGACTTGATCCATGAACACTTAGAGTCACAGCTGTAGTTGAGGGAGCTGCTAAAGCACATGAAGCATTACCCCATGTGCCCGTGCACAGAACAGTAGTTCCTGTAGATATCTGAAGCTATTATCTTCTTACATCCAAACCCCATGCCTACCTCTGCCCTTGGCTGTGCTGTTGTCGTCTTCCATGCATGAGCTCCTTCTGTCACCCCGACAGCTCCAAGAAAACACTGTATTTCTAGAAATCATGATGTTCTTTACTCTCTCCTTCACGTTTCTTGCTAATCCTGTCCTGAATCTCAATGCAAGTTTGATGTTTTCCTAAGCCTTTCTGTATTTTCCTAGGTAATTAGCAACTGTGCCCTAGACATGGGAGATACCTTCTAGTTCAATGCTTATCTTAGGAAACTTTATTTCAAGCAGGTCTCTTAGCTTAATATCTTACCTGAGGGAATAAAGCACTGGGGGAAAGAAGGGTGGAGACCCCCTAGCATTATTTGATTTTAATTATTGGTGTTAGTTTCTGTTGCTGGCCTCCATATAGGTTTCTCTGCTAAACTGGGAAGTGATTCTAAGATACCACATGAGCTATCTAATGCTGAAAGGTAAAGCAGAGTTTTACATTAAGGCTTAAGAAGCTGGGGTCACATGATGTTCGTCTGCTGTGGTATTCTGAAGACAGAATATTGTGCTTTTCCAGAATTCATAAGGAATCAAAAGCACTGAAGTTATCTGGGAGATCTGCTTGAACCAATGGCCATGCCGTGCCTGAAGATTCAGGTTTCTTTTCCTTTGCACAACATGGGGGTTTGGGTTCTCATCTGAAGCATCAGGAGAGGTGTGACTGGTGAGAGCTAGGCAGGGAGATGCATAGTCCTCCTGATCAATATACTATCAGTGAAAGTTAGGAAACTGTAAATAGAGATACGGGATTGAAAGATGTTATCTTCATGGTCTGCAATGTTTCTGGGGTGATGGCAGCTGGGTATGCTCTAGGGGTGTGGAACAGTTGATGCCATCAGGAAGGTATGGGACATTTCAGGAGCTGGTGAGTTGGCATAGAGGCAAGATTTCCCTTGCATCTGGCGGAGTGGAGCCAGATCTGTGGGGTTCTCAAAGCTGGCAAACTTGCTTTCCCTTACACTGAGGTGAGCTGTGCTAGCTTCAGGAGAATGGAGTGGCTTTTGGGATGTGTGCATCTCCCTCTGCTTTGATGGCTGTTTCCATGATGGATAGTCATTTGTCTTTCCATGAGAATCCCCAGGCACAAGTGGGTGGTGTGAATATCTCTCAGGCTTCCACTGGGCAAACTGCGCTTTAACAAAGTGCACTCTGTCATTTTTGTACATGTTTTACATTTCTTCTTGGAAATGCATCAGGGTTTTCCTTTCTGTTTTTCAAAGTTTATTGTCTCAACGTTGGCCTGGCTTTGTACTCTTGGTAGCTCTGCTCATTCCTCTTCCGCAATGTCAGGAAGAGTTTTCTGTTTGCTTCAATGGGAACTGGGTTAGATCAGTCCTGGCCATTCTTGAGAGGCCCAAGCAGAGGGTTCAGATTAGATAGCATAGTGGGGAGCCTTGCCTGCTGTTCACATCCAGCTTTGTTTGTTGGATTTAATTAAATGAGCCATACAATATTTTGCATTTTCTACTTGTGACGCAGTGCAGAAGTCCTGTTGTTCTCTTAGACAGTAGGTCTCTGCATGCTCGTAATGAGGATTCACCAGCAGCAACTTACTGCTGTGGTGAAGTGCCAGCTTGGCAGTAGCCTCATGAATCGTGTTCAGTGCTGTGTTCAGAGGACTGAAAGGACAATGGCTGCTATTAATTTTGTGCTCTTTTTCACTGCCTTAGGAGAAAAACATCTTTGCAGAAAGATCGGAACTTCTTTGAGGTAAGAAAGATAGAAAGATAATTTTGACTGAGATTTTGACTGAGTGTCAGCTCAGACCATGTCCCTCCCTTGCACATTCAAATGCTGCAGACAGCCTGCTCCTTTCCTTTTGGTCCTCCCAGTGGTTTACTTGCAGGGCAGAGTACATTCAGTAAAATTTTACTTCTTGGACCTAGATTGCAATGCCTGTAAAATACCACCCCTGTGCCCTTCAGTGCAGGTTTTCAGTCCTGCTGTGACTCTCAGAGCTGAGGCAGTTCCCATCACAGACTGAGATCCCCCTGGGAAGCCTGGTCTATTGGTTTCTTGCCAATGACCTCATGATTTCTTCTTTGTAGGTAGGAAATTTCACAACCTTCTTTCATCTCCATTGTGCTTGGCAACATTTTTAGATGCCAATAAGCTCTTCTGACCTGTTACATCCAACCCAGTGAGGAATTTGAGCCTCTCTGTATAGCAGGGCTTTGATAAATTAATATAAAACACTAGGGCCCAAATTATACTTTATACTTCTCAAACCGTACAGATTTTCCTTCAAAGAGGAGAACTGTGGATTGAATTCCAAGGGTACACCGTAGTTCCACTGATACCATCTTTTCAGGAACCTCAGTAGAGGTTTGATTTTCTGGGTGTTGATTCAGCTGGTGCCAGGAATCATGAGTGTTAAAATGGTGTGATAACCTAGATAATCCTATTTAATCAGCAAGCAGATACATGAAGGTAAGATGCAATGAGTTCGTATTTGTTAGTAATATTTTCTGTGATCAAAATGCTGTCATTTGGGGTGGGAATCATCTTGTCTAATTCCAGTTGCCCAAACAATAGCTGTCCCATCATCCTAAGTCCTCAGGCTACTCTGACAGCCATGCAGACAAGGAGAAGCTCCGCCAGGGATGAACTGTTGCCTCTTGGGACAAATGAGTGTGATAAGAACCTCCGCAGACTCGTCCCACCAGTCTCTTTCCATTGATTATTGAAGGAAACTGTGTGGTGATCCTCAGTTCATTTCATAGTTCCTAGCAGTGAAGCTAAACTAAATTGGTCAGATTCAGCAAGGTGAGATCCCTCTGAGCTACGTTTCTAGCTTCATCTCTCTCTGTACCTTTAAAGAAACTAGTCTTTCAGATCTTCACTGGTGAAGTTTGATGTCAGACTTGTTGCTGTCTTTTAGTGGAATGCCAACATGCACTGTGGGACATGGTGGGTTCTGAACCTTTTCCCACTGAAAATGGGATCCATGTTTTCAATTTAGGGCTTCTACAACTTCTGCAGCTACGTGACTTGGCTTGTGTTCGGGCGGAAACACTTCCAAGTGATTCGGGAAGAAATCGGCAGGCTCCTCTGCTCCGACATGTTCAATCTCGCCTTAAGAGACAGGAAGCATGTTTCTTTGCAGACTGCTGATGCAAATGCAGTGAGATTACCACGTCAGAGGTACACATTTGACATACTGATGAGCCCTTAGGTAACCTGTCCTGTCCGAATACACTAAGATAACATCTGTGTTTGTTTTCTTTCAAGACAAGTCGGTGCCAAGCATCCATCCATAAACAGCATGGTTTACCAGCACTCACCTGTGCTCAGCACACTGCTGCCCTTACCAAAGGAGAGTGCTCAGTACCGCTCCCAGAGCCACTACTGTCAGGGCAGAGACCCACAGCCCTGCTCGTGTGACATCCTACCAGACTTCTCACAATTGCTTACTACCAAGTAAGGGATATTTCTTGGCATAAATAGATTTGGTAGTGTTATTAGAGAGGCTGCCAGACAGTTAAGTCTTCCTCGTTGAGAGAGAGACCATTGGGCAACTCTATGATTCTATGACTGGTAATTAATTTGCCTACGGGAACAGGCAACTGCTGTCTATCCTACTGCTTTGTTAACTGGAAAGTATTATTGGGAAAGCCAATGGAAATAGAACCTTTTCTAATGATTAGGATAAAAAACAAAAAACTTCAAGCCTGATTGTGCCACATAAGAGGAATTCTACTTTTCCCTCCATCCATTTGTTGCTTTCATTTTCTGGATCTTTCAGACTTCTGGCAAACTAGAAAAGGCACCATACACACAAAATCTTCGGACCTATCTACAACATAAGACTGGTGAATCCAACATTCCCCCAAAAATGAGGTTTGCTACAGATGCACGTGTAATTGCTTTGTGAACGCTTTCAAACCTGGGTGCCTGCTGAGTTTTTATAACTTCTGCACAGTAATTGATGTGCAATAGTGTCAACCTTCTAAGGCAGTGCTAAGTTTCGCTTGGACATACACATTTTGTATTGTGTGCATGCACACTCCAGACAGAAACATGACATGATGTGTGAGGTGCTGTGTGTATATGTGGTTCTTTGTCCCCAGAGCAGAGAAGATAATCTCTGCAGAATGTGTTATTCATAATTCAGCTAAAGGAGGCAACTTTCTTTGCTGGTTTTCATTGGCAAGTTGTTCTCCCTTTCTCCTGTTTTCCTCTGCTTTATCACGTCAAACATATTAACACCATGTTTTCTAACAGGGTGGGCATCATTGGAGCTCACTGTAGTGAGTTAAATTCCTTTTTGCTCCAGTCTGATGGGACAAAGGAAGAGGAAGAACAAGACCAAGACCAAGAACAAAGAGAAGAACAAGGAAATCTAAGGAGTCATTCCTTTGTCCTGACAAAAGATCTGAGTTTATCAGCTCTGTGAAGCCCCCAGAAAGGCTTAGTAGAGACAGTGCTGTATTCTCAAGAGCAACAGCAGAAGGTGATCGTAACCAGAACAACTAGCAGAAGTTGAGTGACATGGTTTAATGTTGCTAAGTAAATAATTTTGAAATTGCAGCTTAAAAAGCCAAAATCATTTATCAGAGGTGGGGTAGTGTAGTACACAAGCATATGTATGGCTGACTGAAGACCTGGACTGTAATTCCTGGTTCTGTCGCTATTCCTCTTTTATCTTAACGCCTTCTTCTCACCATTTCTGAGAAATTATTTTACTGACTTATTTTGGGAAGTGCTTTGACACCTGCAGATGAATATGATTATTGATTTTAATGTCAGCCTTCTTTTTTTAAAGGATTAGCAAAGTAACCAGGAAACATGACTTACTATGGCCTAAAAGTTCCTTAAACTGTCCTTTTAGAGGAACTTACTCTTGAATCTTTGATATATTGTTTACTCCTTTTTTAATTTCCATCACCTCTCATTTAGTTCTAATATTTTGTAGCCTAATTTGGTAGCCTAATTTATGACTCACTGTGAAAAGAGTATAGCAAAGAGGAGTCTTCATATACATGATGTGAAGTTTACTCAGAATTAACTTTTCCAAGTTTTACATTTGCGTTCATATTGGGCAGACAGGTTAGTGCTCTTATGATCATAAAAATGGTGCTTTGGTTGCAGGTTTCCTGGGAGTCTGGTTGGGCAAAGCATGTGCAGCTGTCTCTCCCAGTGGCATAAGCTACTCCTGGATGCTACATACCTGGCTGGACATGCAAGAGGCAATTGTGCTATCACTGCCCTGCAGCAACATGGTTTCTCTACTGAATGATGCAGCAAGATGTTGGCCAATACCTGGAGCTAAGGGAGACTATTTCATAGCTTCCTTCTCATGGTGTTGGGAGAAATCTTTCAGTTTCTGTTTTAGGAGGCCTTGGCTTGGTCTCAGTTATCTTTGTCTGCATCTGTATCATGCTGTATGGCACGCTCTGAGTAAAACCCGACGGTTCTAGTGAGTTCTGCTTTTAAGACACTGTGATAGTAAGCCAAGTCCTCAGTGATGGCTTTGGGCCTTCTAACAACAGCCTTGAACTTTCTAGAAAGGATTGAGAAATACTTTGAAATTCAGGTCCTTTAGTCAGCAGAGTCCTTTCCAGGGTTACCTTCTCAGGGCTGAGCTCTGCTTTTTCTGAGGCAACGGATGTCTAACACAGACACCCCATACCTGTTTAAGCATGTAAGCAAGGCCTGGCAGCCTTGCACACATGACAGTGAGTCATCCTTCCAGCAGGAGAGAGTGAGTCAGAAAGGGCAGTTGACAAGCTTTATTTATCGGTCTCCTGTTATTTGGCCCAGGAGAATTTCACTCTGCAAAACCCACCCTTGTTAATGACAGGCAGAGCTCAGAAGTGTATCATGCAACTACTTGCTTTTATTCCCATGGGCTTTGCATGCAGTTTCATTATCAGGAAGTCACGGCAGGTTGGCCATTTCCATGAATTTCTTTTTTTAAAGGGACTCTGAGCATGCCAGCTGTATCAGAACAACTTGCCCAACCTAGGATTACCATAAACAATACAAATTCAAATGCCTCCGAGTGATGAAAAGAGCCGGGGGTTCTGTGCAACCGCATTTATTGAATTCCCATTTACTTTCTTCTCTTAGGGCTGACTTGCTCAGAACTTTAATCAAATGCTGCTAGCATAGCCTAGTGTCTTGACTGGCTTTGGATTATGGTTCTGCCACTCACAGGCTCCATATAGGGTGTGTCAGGCTTTCGAGTGTACGTGTCTATTTTCAGAAGTTATTTTGCTCTGTTGTAGAAATTCACACCAAGAAGAAAGTTGGCAGGAAACTTTGCAGCTCAGAGATGGAAAAAGAAACAGAAGAAAAAAAAAAAAAAAAGTCTGCCTGATGATTAATGAAGGAAACCCTGCCCTGAGAGGCTTCAGGCTTTGTGCTTGGGAGAGAGGTGGCATTGCAGCAGGGAGATCCACCGAGATGTGGAATGACCATTTTGTGTAGTTGGGGTATGGAAAGAAGCAGTATAGACTTCATCCATTCTACTTGTGTTCTGGGGGAGTTCAGGGCAGTAACTCATGAAGGCAGCACTCCCAGCAGCAGTGCTGCAGGGCTCAGCAATCCGAGCCCACATGGCAGGTCCTGGAGCTCTTGCAAATTCTTTGTGGTCCTGTTGGTTCATCTTGTTCTGTTAGAGGCTGGTGTCTGATATACAGGGAAAAGCAATCTGAGCCTTCTCGTTTTCCTCTGCAAGAAAGATAGGCCAAAAGCAGCACTTCATCAGCTGCTAACAGGTTTTGTCCATTTTTACTTGGATTCATACATGTATTCATGCAGTTAAATTTGCTGCATAGGAGAATAATGCCTCCATATGCCTTTGGTAATATGGCTTTTTGTTGCTCCCAGCCAAGTGGGGACTTAAAAGATGCTGCAGTGGTGAAAGGCACCATCGTGTTTCATGATCCTGCCCGTGTCCCTCCTCTGCCTGGGGTCCATCTCCTTTGCCCTCTCAATTAAACAAAAGATTCAGGAATCCTTGACAGAGCTCTGAAGATGCTTCTCATTGCTCCTGTTTGTTCTGCTGCTCATCTCCCTGCCAAAGCCAAGCTGCACCTACCAACCAGCCAGCCCAGGAGAAGTACAATTTGTACAGATTGCTGACACCGTCACCTTGGTTGGTCCTCACCAGCAGATGGGCGTGATGCTTGTGATGCCTTTTCACCTCCAGGTGTGCTGGGGGAAAGAGTGCGGCGGTGAGACTGGAAACTGAACCAGGCAATGATTTGCACTATGAGAGGAAGTTGTCAGTCTGGATTTTCTTAAGCAAGGCTTCCAAACAGTGGTGGCATGTGTTCCTGCACTGGATGGGACTAAAACCTTCATCTTGCAAGCAAACCATGTACCAGATACGGTTCTTGTGGCTCAGGCTATATCAGAATGTTTGTGGTGAGATTTTTACAGTTTGCAGCAAAAATAAAACAAACTGCAATTCGCAGAATGTGGAGATATTCTTACTCTGGCTCATCTTCATGTGAGAAAGCTTGAAAGAACAGGCTGTAATTATCCTGTCATCTGTTACAGCCCTTCTATCTGGAAGAGATATAATAATATTAATGCAATGTATTTCTTGGTGTCATTATTTACAAAACAATAAATAGTCATTTTTCCTTTTCTTTGAATACAGTAGAAACAATCTCAAATTGTTTCTGTACACACATTCTTGAGACTGCTGGTCCCAACAACGTCTGGCTTCAAAAGAGTTCCCTCTGTGATGCTCCTTACTTTTCCCCCTCCTGTACCAAGCCAACACAAGCACAGCAGCTATGATGGTGTCTCGGCAAGTACAGCAGTTCCTGAATTTGCAGTCTTGCTGTGGAAGCTAGATCTCTAGGAGAGGGCTTCCATTGTTCATCTGTCTTTACTATGTTATAAAGGATAGTTATTCCTTCTGCTGAACCTGGCATAGTATGCATGACATGTTTTTACTGTGCTGTATAGGTACTGTGGATTGAAGACTTGCCCAAAGGCTGCCATTAGCATTTTTTCAGTGTAATCATCAAGAGAAGGAGGTTCAACATCTAATTTAGGTGTTTATAGTAGGTCATCTTAAGACAGTGCCCAGATCTCTATATTGATTGGACCTGGAGATGTGGTATTGCAGACCTGGATAGGCAAGGGATTGACCTATACTTTGTCCTTTGTACTCAGAAGCTGCAAGAGCTCTCACCCCTGAAGTGCTGTGATTTATGCTTTTTAGGAAAGAGGAGGGCGAGATGTAAGAGGTGGTTGTGCTCTGTACGAAGAGGAGCAGCTCAGATGCATGGAGTTCTGTGCACTGTGTGATGGGCTGGTCAGAAGCTTATAAGACAGGATCAAAGGAAAGGCAAAGTACAGGTAACACTGTGGTAGGCACTTGCTACAGATCACCTAGTCAGAAAGACAAAACAGATGAAGCCTGCAGAAATATGAAATAAGTGTCAGTGTTTCAAGTCTTGACATTTACAGGAGATATTAACCAACGTGACATCTGCTGGGCAGGAAACAGTAGGGCACAAGCAATTCACGTTTCCTGAGTGGGTCAGGACAATGTGCTGCTGGTAACAATGTGAAAAACAATAGGAAGGGTTTCTAGGGGTGTGTTAGAAGTGATAGGGAAACCAAGATGTGGATCTGCTGCTGAACAGGGCAGGTGAGCTGGATGAACAACATGGAAAATTCAGAGGTTCTCAGCATTTTGTTTGCCTCAGTCTTTACTGTTATAGTCTGTTCCTGGCTATCTGTGTCAAGAGGCAGAGTTTGGAAGATAAAGATACTACCTGCAGTAGAAGATGATTATGCTGCAGTGACTTACATAAAATGAACGTATACAGATCCATGGGACCAAATGGGAGGCAGTTCAGATTGACATAAGGAAGAAAATTCTTTATAGTGAGAGTTCTCAAGCAGTGGAGCAAGTTGCCTAGAAAATGTGTTCAATTTCTACCCTTAGATGAATTCAAAACTCGGCTAAATCAGACATTGAGAAACCTGCTTATTCATTGAGCAGGAGATTGTATGAGAGCCCAGCAGAAGTCATTTCCAACCTATTTTTTTCTATGATTCTTAGTAGATGTCTGAATATAATCTGAAAAGCCCCCTGGAAATGAGATGCATATGCCTTAAAATGTGCAACACTGAAGGTAACATGGCCCAAATGCCACGCAGCCCTTGAATGGGCCCATAGGCCATGGAAGTATAGAGGAGAAGGTAACAGTGGTGGTACAGGGAATGCAGCCAATAGGAAGGACCATGGGCCAGGAGGATTAGTAGCACTTAAGCAGTGCTCTCTGCTGCTCCATTCTAATCTGTCACCCTGCAGGTGTGCTGTATGTATTCTAATAGGTAGTCCAGATCCTCCCAGTGCTCAAGGTATTGGTGTCACACTCTTTGAAGTCCTTACGAGTCCCTAACAGCTCTCTGTCCAAGATCCCTGGGTAGCCTGAGCTCTGAGTTAGTGCTGACGTCCGTTTGAGCAACTGTGGCAGCTGGGAGCTGATGTGTTCTTGTTTTACCCAGCTGGCAGCACTTACAATAGCAGCACAGAGTGCAGGGAAGGTCTTGCCAGGGGGTTAGTCACCAGCAGACATGCTGTCTATAAGCTCCCGGGGCAAATACTCTGTTGCTGGGGTGGGCTGGCACACACACTGCTGCATCTTCACAGCTCTTGCTACCAGACCTGGGCACACCTCCAGTGCACACTGGAACCCTACGAAGGCCTCAGTTTCTTGCAATGCTTTTGCTTTGTCCCTGAGCAGCTCCTGCTTCAGGTGGTGTTACACAGCTGCTGGTTCAGCAGGTTCACTCCCACAGGAAAGCTACTGTAAGTATTTCAGGTTTAATTTAGAGTAATTTAGGTTTAATCAGTGTTTTGGACCTTTTGTCATTCTTTATTTTGACACTATTTCAGAAGGGCTGCCTTTTGGGCTATTGAATCCTCTGCAGACTACTGGTTGGAAGCAGTTTTTCCAGGCCTGCATCTCTGCAAGTGAGGCACTCTAACCTTTGGTGGCTGGCCAGGAGGAGCCACAATGTCCTGGAGTCTCTCTCGTGGATGGTGAAATCTTGGGGAATAAAGTCCTAAAAGAACAAAGCTTAACTCTGCAGTAAGAACTACGCTTTAAACAGGGTGAGTTGTTTGTGCACAGCAGTAATTAAATTGACATTTTCTGTCATTTCTTTGAACAGTCCTTGATGTTGCATCTGAATTACTGGCTGATGGAAGTCCCAACCTCAATCTTTCAGCAGAAGTTGTGTGACCATGGAAATGTGAGAAAACTTGCTGAGAGCATATCTGCATTAAAGTAATAGGCTTTGGTGCAATTCTAAGAGTTGATTTCCAAACAGGGTTTGATTCCTGTGTTAATTTGTGCTTGCTGTGACTAGAACTGTATTTGGTTGGACTGGATGATCTTAGTGGTCTTTTTCAACCTTAATGATTGTGTGATTCTTTTTTAAGTTGTAGTCCTTCTCCCCATGGTCCATGGTCAGGCTGTGACTGAAGTACCACTCAAGAGGGGATGTTTTTTTTAGGGAAAGGACAACTGATATGCAGCATCATGCAGAAGTTTGCTAGGAAAGCAGAGAAGCTGGGTAAAACATCCAGGAACTCAGTGTAAATATCAAGAATCTCTTATTGCTTAAATGATCTTAAATATTATGTGTTATCACAGGATAAGAATTGTCTCTTGATATACATATATATTTAGCAAAGATCACTGACATATTCCCTTTGAAGTAAACAACACTGTGCTCAGTAGAGCAAGAGTTACTGCAGGAGAACAAATAGCCAGATTTGCTCTGAATTTTGGATTTCTACATGATATTCTAATTTAAAACAGAATAAGCAAAGAAAACAACAAAGCAGTGAAATAATAATTTTGTGGTGAATAAGAACTGAATTCAAGTGTTAAGGGCATTTACAAACTCCATTATTAATACAAAAATATTGCTTTATCTTTGAAATGAATTCTGGATGGAAGCCTGTGTCAGTTCTACTGAAGACCAGAAACATGTCTGTGTATTATGTTTTGACAGAATATTCTTCTGTGATTACACATTCTGGTCCAAGGTATCATCCAAGCCAAGCCTGTCCCTGATGAATTAATATCAATGGAGTCACATGGCAGGATTGTGACTCTTTCAGTACCCATTAATCCAGGATTAAATTGGCATTTAATTGGCCTAGTCTGCAGAACAAACTCCTGGCTCTCAGTGCACTTACTGCAACAAAATGTGGGTGTTTTGGACCTGTATCATCCTTCTGTCCCCTCACTTCCCAAGCACTATGGACTTCAGTGAGGTACATTCAGGCAAAACACCCAACTTGCTTCAGCTTGTATCTTTCTGCTATGCTCCTGCTACTCAGTGAGATCAGCCTTTTGTATGTTTTAGTTCATTTGCACCGACCATAAAATCACAGAGTCATTAAGATTGGAAAAGACTTCTAAAATCATCTTCTCCAACTATCAACTCATCCCACCGTGCCCACTTACCATATCCCTCAGTGCCACATCTCCTTGACTTTTTCAACACCTCCAGGGACGGGGACTCCACCCCCTCCCTTGTTCTGATGCTTTGCCACTCTTTCTGAGAATAAATTTTTCCAAATATCCAACCTGAACCTCCTCTGAAGTTCATATCTCCTCTGGAGCACAGCACCCAGCTGAAACTCCCAAGAATGGGAGCTGCTGAGCCTCTGTGGCTGCAGGGAAGGGAGAAGAGGAACCCATACAGGTGCTGGTATCCTGTTATCTACAGTGTACTTACTGTCAGGTCCCACCTTCTCAGCCTCACAGGGACAGAAAGGAGCTCCATGGCTTTGAAGTTGTGCATGTTTTTTGCCATTCAGGGAAAGACAAGGCTGTGACAACAGGTACACAGCAGCAGAAGGTACTCTCAGTGCACAGCATGGAGTTATTTTGGTCTTTCAAAATCCAGCACCTATTCTATTTATCCTTGAGCGTCTTTTACTAGCGCTGTGCCTATTTATACTCACGCAACCATAGCACCCTCTGTAATGGCCATAATTCTTAATGCAGTGGCATTTGTAGCAGTGAGCAGAAAGCAGAAGCTGTTCCCCCTCGGTGGCCGGCTGTCCAGCGATGTTGGCAGTGTGTCAGAGAAGTCAGGAACTCTTGGAAAAGAAAAGGAAAGAGGAAAACAGAACTCAGAAGCCAAGAGGCAAAGGCATTCCAATAAAGGCTTAGTGGTTTTGCCAAGACAATTAAAATTGTTTACAACGAATCAAGTTGGTTTAGAGGAAACTTGGAGGTCTGTGAATGTCAAGAGCTCCTCATCCTTACAAGGTAAAGGTTAGTGCTGTGCTTTGTATTGTTACTTCCTGAGGTACCCCATGCTTAGCAGTTCCTCAACTTACCCAATTTGTGCTCCAGTGATGGTGTTCTAGTTTGGCAAAAGGGAAAGTAACTGCTTTCAGCAAACAACCCAGCTGTTGTTTTACTCTCTTCAGGAAAGAGGTGATACAGGAGGATAGCAGATTCAACATTAGTTCATTTGTTAATATTTACATGAAAGGAATGAGCTGTCCTGTTGTCATGGTTTTATGTTTTTTGGTGTTCAGTATTCTGCATTGTAACATTATGTCGTGCACTGGGAGTTAAAGTGTTAATGCTGCAATTCCAGGTACCTATTCCCCTATAGGTTATGGAAGTCATGGGATCTGGCCCTTCCAGGTGGAGCGGTCTCTTCCTGCCTGGCAGTGGGTGCTGGAGGGTGCTTTCCTAGCCATTCCAAGCTTTTCAGGTTTGACTGGGTCTCAAGAACTCTCTCTCTCCTATCTTATTTGATTTATTAGTCTCAATTTCAATTAGATTGTATTATATTGTGTTATCTTGCATTCCGATATCACAATTAGTAAAACAAGTTTTCCTCCATAGATCGTTGCCGCTGTTGTTTTTCCTTCCTTGAGCCCAGCTCCCATCTCCCTATCCCTTTTCCTTTTCCCTTCCCATTTTGTGGGGCTGGAGGGGGAAGGGCAGGGGCCTACTGCCCCCCTGGCATGGGCATAGATTGATCTAGTCAATTCCATGACACCTGTGAAAAATATAAGCTTTTTTTTTCTTTCTTTTTTTTTTTTTTTTCCCAGGGCATGTAAAAAAAAGTAAAATCCTATTTGATAACATTATGCAATAACCAAGGCACACATAGCATCTGGACCTGCATGCTCTGTTGGTGTCTGCCTGTTCAGAGGGACACAAGTTTCCTGGCACTGACACGAGCGATAGCTCAGAGCTTTTTGAGGATTAAGCCTTGGTTCCCTGTGCTGGCATTCTCTGTAAAGGTCAGTTAGCCTTTCCTGTGTCCCCTGTCAAACTCACTGACACTGAGCCCTTTTCCTTTACTAAAAATGATTCAAGCCTTGGGATATGCTCTTGACTAATGAGCTATTCTGGTTTCTGAGCCAGCTGTTTCATAGGTGCAAATCAATGTAGCGCTGATTTGAGGTGAGAAAAACCAAGTTTGGCTTTAGTGATGTCCTTAGTGGTTTTGCCAGTGTATCTGTTTTTGCAAACCCTTATAGCACAAATGGAGCTTATTATCCCTGTCCCCCCTGCTCACCACCGCCCCATCTGCCTGGCTGAAGCCTTTCCTTCAGTTTCCAAGCTTGCTGGGGAATTGAGTGCACTGTAAGGAAGATTGCCAATGACACCAAGCTGCATGATGCTGCAGGGAAGGGAAAGGGCTGCCATCCAGAGGGCTTTGACAGGCTTGAGAGTGTGACCATGTGAACCTCATGAAGTTCAGCAAGGCCAAGTGCAAGGTCCTGCATCTAAGTCACAGCAATCCACAGGATGGGTGGAGAATGGATTGAGAGCAGTCCTGAGGAGAAGGTCTTGGAGGTGTTTGTTGATGAGAAGCTCAACATGTGTGTTGAGCTTGCAGCCCAGTGTGTGCTTGCAGCCCAGAAAGACAGCAGTGTCCTGGGCTGCATGAAAAGTAATGTGACCAGCAGGGTGAGGGCAGTGACAGGGCTCTGCCCTTGACAAACTTCAGCTGCTTAGCTCTGGGGCCTCCAGTATAAGAAAGATGTGGACCTATTGGAGCAAGTCAGAGGGCTGGAGCACCTCTACTGGGAAGACAGGCTGAGAGAACAGGGGCTGTTCAGACTGGAGAAGTGATGGCTCCAGGGGGACTTCATTGTGACCTTCCAGTGCCTAATGGGGGCCTGCAGGAAAAGCTGGAGAGGGATTCTGTTAGTAAGTATAGTGATAAGATAAAAGGTTATGGCTTTAAATTAAAGGATAGTAGACTTAGATTAGATACAAGAAAGAACTTCTTCAGTATGAGAGGGTGGTTGGGCACTGAAACAGGTTGTCCAGAGAAGTTGTGGATGCCCCATCCCTGGAGGTGGTCAAGAACAAGCTGTGAGGGGTTTGGGCAGCCTGATCTGGTGGGAGGTGTCCCTGCCCATGGCAGGCAGGTTGAAACTGGGTGATCTTTAAAGTCCCTTCCAACCCTATCTATGATTCTGTGATACGATTCTATGAAATCCATGTTTTGCTTGCTTCTTGTACCAGGTCACATTCATCTTTGAATGGATTCTTCTACCTTATCCTTTCATTCCTTCCTGGTCAAAGAAATCTATCTCTTGGTCTGTGTCTCTGTGTAACAATCTAGGAGTGCCAACTAAAGTATAAGGGACTTCGCGTATTCGTATCTCCCTTCCATAGCTAGAGAACTTGGGCTATATATGTCAGGTAGCCTGAGGCCATAAGGAAAGTCTGTGTACAAACCTGCAATTACAAGCAGTTTTCTGACTTCCATACCCTTGTCTTAAGCATTAGAGCATCCATTATGGATCTCTCCTATGCTTGTCCTTGCACATACTATTGACTTTTCTTTTATATATAATGATTTCTGACATGAACTTATCACTGTATTCAGATGATGTCTGACAAAACCATCCATTCTCTTTACTAAAGTGATGGAAGCATATACTTCTGATGAGGTTTGGCTTCTTCAGCTAATTAACCAGCAAAGTTCTTTTCATTGCTGAATTGTCCTTAATTATTGAAATCAACACTGAGACAAGCACATTCACCTAACGTTTATCTACTGAATCTGAACTGTGAATATAGAATCCAGACTTCTTACATCAGTTCAAACATACCAGACATTCTCTAGTTCAGTTTTGGGAAAAAGCTATCATGGACAGCTTATGGGGCAACAATTTTATAGATATGACTTATAGTCTAGTTTTAGTGTAGGAATATCTGAATTACATATCAGTGAGTCATTATTTGTTGAAGTATTGAATCTTAAAGCAAGGAAATCTTTTTGCTGATTGAGTTTCTGTGCTTTCTAGTGTGTGTCATGGAAAACATTGGTTGTCATGCCAGACCTTGCCTCTGAGGAAGGTCATATTCTTTTACCACCTCTTGATTAGCAAAATACTTGAAGCTCCCTTCCCTACTTTTAATTAGTAAGCATGATTGAAACCTCTGTGGGTTTTTCTAATAGTTGCTGGAATGCTGAGGTAGTAGATATTTACTTGTTCTGGCCCGCTGGGCTGGAAGAACACAGAAGTAGCAATTTGTTTACATTAGGTTTCCTATTCTGATGAAATTTGCCCAAGACTCCACAGTTAGAGGATGCTACATCTGCTAATACGGTGAGAAGTGCTGTAATGGTCTCCTAGACTTCAGAACTGGCTAGTTTTTGCCATTTGGATCTCTCAGGAACCTTTTCTAGAACAGGGATAACACAAAACCTAAAGGAAGTGTCAGCTAGGTGGGATTAGGTGCTAGTGAAGAACCAAAGCAGCAGGATTGTGGATGGTGGA